CGGACGGACTTTTAAATCATAGACAAGACTTCCGTTTAGGACTGTTTTAAAATTACACATAATTTTCACAAGTACTCGGGGACAGGACAATTATTTTCGCGTTTATCTGCATGTATACTATGATCATACTACTATGAAATATAGAGACTCTCTATATAATATATCAGTGACCGCCGTGGATGATAAAGTTGGAATTGATAGTAAATAGCAAATACACTTTATTTATGATAAACAGTTATGTATGTTCATAGTATACAGAAAACGCGAAAAAAATTGAAATTAACAAAAAACAAAAAAATAACAGGTTTTGGAAAAAAGGGAGCGGGCTAGAAAATATTGTCGCAGTGCCTATGGCTTTTGATACCTTTCCTGAAAATCTTTTACAAAAATTCATCCTACTACAGTTTACATACTTTCAACCACACTCTAAATGCCCGCGATTTCGCAGGTGTGTTCTAGTAATATTTAAGATACCGGGTAATAACCAAAAACTGCAAAATTTTCTTAAAATTACCAATTCAGGAGCAGCAACCCAACAACAGGTTGTCTGATTCATCTAAAAATTTCAAGGCAGATAGATCTTAACCTGATGAACATTTCTACCCCCATGTCAGATTTGCTCTAAATGCTTTAGTTTCAGAGATATAAGCCAAAAACTGCATTTTCATCCTATGTTCTAATTTTAGTCAAGTCAGCCATGTTGGTTGGCAGACAGGGTCATTGGACACATTTTTTAAACTAGATACCCTAATGATGATTGTGGCCAAGTTTGGTTAAATTTGGCCCAGTAGTTTCAAAGGAGAAAATTTTTGTAAAAGATTACAAAAATTTATGAAAAATTGTTAAAAATTGACTATATAGGGCAATAACTCCTTAAGGGGTTAATTGACAATTATGGTCATGTTGACTTATTTGTAAATCTTACTTTGCTGAACATTATTGCTGTTTACAGTTTATCTTTATCTATAATAATATTTAAGATAATAACCAAAAACTGCAAAATTTCCTTAAAATTACCAATTCAGGGGTAGCAACCCAACAACGGGTTGTCTGATTCGTCTGAAAATTTCAGGGCAGATAGATCTTAACCTGATGAACATTTTTACCCAGATTTGCTCTAAATGCTTTATTTTCAGAGATATAAGCCAAAAACTGCATTTTACCACTATGTTCTATTTTTAGCCATGTCGGCCATGTTGGTTGGCAGGTTGTGTCATCGGACACATTTTTTAAACTAGATACCTTAATGATGATTATGGCCAAGTTTGGTTAAATTTGGCCCAGTAGTTTCAGAGCAGAAGATTTTTGTAAAAGTTAACGACGACAGACGACTTCCATTTACAGGTTTGATCTTCCCCTCTGTAGTTAGTTATACCTGAACTTTCATATTGTTGCAGGTTGAAAAAATTACAAAAGCATTTCAAACACAATAAATAATAAATTGCTTCGCCAAGCTCAGCTGGATACAACCGCAGAGGTCCAACCCTGAACAGTTGGGTCAAAAATGGACACAATATTCGAGCTTGATACACGTCTGAATTTGGATTGTAATTAAATATTTGACATATAATAGGTTTCTGACACAGAATAACTGTAGTCAAAGAACTTACAATTGGTTATATGATTTGAATTTATATTCAATTTTTTGCTTTTGTGCAATACAATATGCTGTTGCGAATTGACCCCCCCCCCCCCCCCCCAAAAAAAAAAAAAGTTGTACCCCCTCCCCCCCTTTTTTTTGCAAAAAAAAAATATTTGAGGAAATTTTCTTTTTAATTTCTGAAATCTGAAATGAGAAAAAAACTGTCCCCCCCCCCTCACAATTTCTTTTTCACCTCCACCCCCCCCCCCCCCCCCTTTTTCCAAAAAAAATTTTTTCCCTCAAGATATGGTCATAATTTCAATTCAAATTTCCAATGGAGTTTGCAACCATAATTACCCATTTAAATACATCATAAAAGTCTTAAAATAGAAAATGACATACATAATCATGGCTAAAATTAATATTCCTTAATCAGCATTTTTAAATAGTAACTTCTAAAAATAAATTGACAGTTAATCACCTCAAGACAATACAACATTTCTTTATACATAATTTAAAAGCAGTGTAAGGGAGGTAATCAAAACATAACATTGTACTTTTTTTAATTGTCCATTAACAAGGAAACCCTTGTTTTCCCCCCTTTTTGCCCCTAAGGCCTAATTCCTAAACGGTTTGAGCCATAACCCCTAAAGCCAATCCTAACCATCCCTTTGTCATGTTTGTGGTATGGAAACTTGTGGTATAATTTCAGACAGATCCATAAATTCATAGATTTCTATTTACATTTACTAAAGTTATTGTCCGGAAACCAAATGTAATCGGATGACGCTGACGAAGACGTGATACCAATATATGACCACAAAATTTTTTGCGGTCATAAAAAACCTAGTATTAAAAAATCAATATGTAACCTTGCTATAAAAAGGAAACATATTTTTGCTTAAATACTTCACAATTGATTTTAAGTGCAGCAGTGATATTGTTGTCTTTTTTCAAAACTACCTGTACCGTTTTTTTTTTGGGAAAATGCATAATTTTTATTGAAATTGGGAAGTTGGTTTATTTTTTTTTTAAACACATCTCCGATTTTTTGCTAAACTTTACTGTCTGTTTTGCAGTTTTATCACATATTTTGATTGTCAGACATTTTAAACCTGAAAGGTACTTTTTGGGGAGGGGAAAGAGATGGAAACAATGATGATGGTACTTAATGCATTGAAAACCACGTGTTACACACACCATGATGATTCTGATCAGAAACCTGGATCTCAAAAGCGCTTTCATAATATCAAAATAATAACATGAATACGAAATTTACATTCATTTTATACCAATGCCATCACTTTTTGGAAAAATGTAAAACTTATTGGGAAGAATTTTAAGCCATTTTTTTTTAGTAATTGGGAATTTTCTCTTGGGGAAAAAGCCGAATTTTGGATGTAATTTGAGGCAAACAATATCACTGTGCAGTCATGTGACCGATAGTCGTACAAGATACCGGGAAACTCGAGAATATATAACCGGGGTATACAAACATAAAGAAAATCTTAAGAAACAGGTGATACAGCTGGGCTGATTGATGAAATGCAGCCTAAAAGACAGGTTCTGACAGCTAAAGATAAAAGATATGACAGGGAAAAGCAAAAACGTAAATTTTTGCCCCAACGGAAGGTGAATCATCCTTGGGTGAATTTCGATGATTCAACTGATTTATTCCTCACACACTGAAAGAGAAAATGCTCTGGTTTGTTGGACACTAAACTTAAAACTTGACCCCATAAAAAATCATGAAACTACCTCTCAGCATCTATCTTGCCAAAATCAGTGGTTAAAAGAAACTTAAAAACAAAGTTGAGCTGTTATCTGACAAGTTAGGCAAGTGTGTTCTTAAGCAGCAATTGAAATCAGAACAATTAACAAGAGGCTCTCAAGAGCCTAAAAGGCTCACCTGTATTTCAGAGGAGAAGATTTTTAAATGTTAGCAAACCTTGATGAACAAATTGTGTAAAATTGTCTTTAAAGGGCAATAACTCCTTAAGGGGTCAATTGACAATTTTGGTCATATTAACTGTTTTGTAGATCTTACTTTGCTGAACATTATTGCTGCTTACAGTTTATATATATCTATAATAATATTCAAAATAATAACAAAAAACTGCAAAATTTTGTTAAAACTACCAATTCGGGAGCAGCAACCCAACAATGGGTTGTTCGATTCGTCTGAAAATTTCAGGACAGGGCCGATAGATCTTGACCAATTAAACAATTTTTCCCCATGTCACATTTGCTCTAAAAGATTTAGTTTTTGAGATATAAGCCAAAAACTGCATTTGACCCTTACGTTCTATTTTTAGCCATGGCGGCCATGTTTGTCAATGGATACAAACTTCGGATACAATTTATAAACAAGACACCCTAAGGAACATTTAGTTAAAGTTTGAAGGTAATTGGCCCAGTAGTTTCAGAGGAGAAGAATTTTAAATGTTAGCAAACTTGATGAACAAATTGTGTAAAATTGTCTTTAAAGGGCAATAACTCCTTAAGGGGTCAATTGAGAATTATGGTCAAATTAACTTTTTTGTAGATCTTACTTTGCTGAACATTATTGCTGCTTACAGTTTATATATATCTATAATTATATTCAAAATAATAACAAAAAACTGCAAAATTTTGTTAAAACTACCAATTCGGGAGCAGCAACCCAACAATGGGTTGTTCGATTCGTCTGAAAATTTCAGAGCTGATAGATCTTGACCAATTGACCAATTTTACCCCATGTCAGATTTGCTCTAAAAGCTTTAGTTTTTGAGATATAAGCCAAAAACTGCATTTGACCCCTATGTTCTATTTTTAGCCATGGCGGCCATGTTTGTCGATGGATCAAAACTTCGGATACAATTTATAAACTAGATACCATTAAGGAACATTTAGTTAAAGTTTGAAGGTATTTGGCCCAGTAGTTTCAGAGGAGAAGATTTTTGAAATAGTTTAAGATGACAGACGACGGACTTAGACGGACGCCAAGTGATGGCATAAGCTCACATGGGGTCCTTTGGGCCCTGGTGAGCTAAAAAGGTACGCAGTGTTATTTAACACAGCATTTAGCGTTGGCATTTTTTTTAAAATTCAGAAACAAATGAGGTTTACATATGATGAGTGCTTTGGAAGGGTAAGCATATTCTGTTTTTCTAGCTCGAGTTTTCAATTAATATTATACTTTCTAAGAATGAAGGAGGGACCTTTTAGTATTTTTTGGTCAAAGGTCCTGACCCTTCCATTGCCTAATTAAAATTTGAACCCTAGCATCTGGACAACCCGTTTCTGAACTGATTTCAGCCTATTCAAAATAACTTTGACCTTGTCATTTGACTTTGTGACCTAAAAATAAATAGGGATCTCCCTCTCATTATATTTACATGTGTTAATTCTAATAATGAAATAATGTATAAGATAATACCTTCCATCCTTGGTCCAGCAGTACTTGAGGATTTCTCTGACATGACTATCTAAATAAAGAAGGAATATGCACTGTGAGTTTTTGTTTACCTTGCATGGTAATTATTGAAAAATTTTAGTGTTTTTTGCATATTATCTAAAAAAAAACAACAATAGAAAAGTAAAAAATGTATACAGCAGAAAAGACCAAATATGCTAGATCTTCAAAATTGCCAAAATAACCAAACATTTTGGATGGCATCTTATAGTATTTATTTCACTGAAATGATGATATTTAATTAATTTTTGAAGTGCTTGCCCATTATCTCATAAACTATAACAGATAGATAGAAGCTGTAAACAAAAATATGGGAAGAATGTGTCCGAGGACACTGGTTCTTTATCATTATGTATGAGTTTCATAAAATTTGCAACTTTCTAAGCTATAAAGGGGCATAACTCTAGAATGGTAAGTGACTCACTGCCCTAATTCGAACTCTGTCTGCAAGTTTTGGTTCTTAACAATGTGTATGAGTTTCATAAAATTTTGATAAGGAAAACTTAAGTTATTGTGTGGATTAAACGAAATTTTTTTGCAATTTTGCAAGTTATAAAGGGGCATAACTCTAAAACGGTAAGTAACTCACTGCCCAAAATCAAACTCTGTCTGGGAGTTTTGGTTTTAACATTGTGAATGAGTTTCATAAAATATGGATGAGGAAAACTAAAGTTAGAATGGGGAAATGAAAAATATTGGAATTTTCCAAGTTATAAATGGACATAACTCCAGAACGATAAATGACTCACTGCCAAAATTTAAACTCTGTCTGAGAGTTTTGATTCTTAGCATTGGGGTTGAGTTTCATGAAATTAAGATGAGCAAAACTTCAGTAACAGTGCAGAAACAAAAATGGGATGGAGGAAAGGACAAATTAAAGGACAGAAAGAAAAGGGTAACACTTAATGGCTTCTGCACTTAGAGGCAGGAGCATAAAAATAATAGTGACTGCTGGTAAGGGTATACAAATGTATCATATACCCAGTAGATAGTGTTTTAAACCAGTGCTGGTAAGAGTATTCAAGAGTACCACTGCTATTAAGTGTATCTAAGTGAATTATCTACCAAGATGACCTCTGTCTATTGGGTAGATGATACACTGAATTACCCTTACAAGCAGTGCTACTAAGAATGTCTAGTGTATAAATCATACACTTCACTACCCTCACCATTTACTAAGGAGACAGTGTAAGTACAACCCCTGGTAAAGGTATACAACTGTATCATCTACCAAGGAGACAGTTTAAGTACCACCGCTGGTAAAGGTACACAAATGTATCATCTACCAAGGAGACAGTTTAAGTACCACCACTGGTAAAGGTATACAACTGTATCATCTACCAAGGAGACAGTTTAAGTACCACCACTGGTAAAGGTACACAAATGTATCATCTACCAAGGAGACAGTTTAAGTACCACCACTGGTAAAGGTTTACAACTGTATCATCTACCAAGGAGACAGTTTAAGTATCACTGCTGGTAAAGGTATACAACTGTATCATCTACCAAGGAGACAGTGTAAGTACCACTGCTGGTAAAGGTATACAACTGTATCAACTACCAAGGAGACAGTTTATGTACCATCACTGGTAAAGGTATACAACTGTACCATCTACCAAGGAGACAGTTTATGTACCACTGCTGGTAAAGGTTTACAACTGTATCAACTACCAAGGAGACAGTTTATGTACCACCACTGGTAAAGGTATACAACTGTATCATCTACCAAGGAGACAGTTTAAGTACCACTGCTGGTAAAGGTATACAACTGTATCATCTACCAAGGAGACAGTGTAAGTACCACCACTGGTAAAGGTATACACCTATATCATCTACCAAGGAGACAGTTTAAGTACCACTGCTGGTTAAGGTATACAACTGTATCATCTACCAAGGAGACAGTGTTAGTACCGTCACTGGTAAAGGTATACAACAATATCATTTACCAAGGAGACAGTTTAAGTACTACTGCTGGTAAAGGTATACAACTGTATCATCTACCAAGCAGACAGTTTAAGTACCACCACTGGTAAAGGTATATAACTGTATCATCTACCAAGGAGACAGTGTAAGTACCACTGCTGGTAAAGGTATACAACTGTATCATCTACCAAGGAGACAGCTTGTGTACCACCACTGGTGAAGGTATACAACTGTATCATCTACCAAGGAGACAGTTTAAGTATCACTGCTGGTAAAGGTATACAACTGTATCATCTACCAAGGAGACAGTGTAAGTACCACTGCTGGTAAAGGTATACAACTGTATCAACTACCAAGGAGACAGTTTATGTACCACCACTGGTAAAGGTATACAACAGTATCATCTACCAAGGCGACAGTGTAAGTACCACTGCTAGTAAAGGTATACAACTGTATCATCTACCAAGGAGACAGTGTAAGTACCACTGCTGGTAAAGGTATACAACTGTATCATCTACCAAGGAGACAGTGTAAGTACCACCACTGGTAAAGGTCTACACCTGTATCATCTACCAAGGAGAAAGTTTAAGAACCACTGCTGGTAAAGGTATACAACTGTATCATCTACATAGGAGACAGTTTAAGTACCAGCACTGGTAAAGGTATACAACAGTATCATCTACCAAGGAGACGATGTAAGTACCACAGCTGGTAAAGGTATACAACTGTATCATTTACCAAGGCGACAGTGTAAGTACCACCACTGGTAAAGGTATACAACAATATCATCTACCAAGGAGACAGAGTAAGTACCACTGCTGGTAAAGGTATACAACTGTATCATCTACCAAGGAGACAGTTTAAGTACCACCACTTGTAAAGGTATACAACTGTATCATCTACCAAGGAGACAGTTTAAGTACCATCGCTGGTAAAGGTATACATCTGTATAATCTACCAAGGAGACAGTTTAAGTACCACTACTGGTAAAGGTACACAAATGTATCATCTACCAAGGAGACAGTTTATGTACCACCACTGGTAAAGGTATACAACAGTATCATCTACCAAGGAGACAGAGTAAGTACCACCACTGGTAAAGGTATACAACAGTATCATCTACCAAGGAGACAGTGTAAGTACCACCACTGGTAAAGGTATAAAACTGTATCATCTACCAAGGAGACAGTTTCACTACCACTACTGGTAAAGGTTTACAACTGTATCATCTACCAAGGAAAAAGTTAAAGTACCACCACAGGTAAAGGTATACACCTGCATCATCTACCAAGGAGACAGTGTAAGTACCACAGCTGGTAAATTTAAGGTATACAAGTGTATCATCTACCAAGGAGACAGTGTAAGTACCACAGCTGGTAAAGGTATACAACTGTATCATCTACCAAGGAGACAGTTTAAGTACCACCACTGGTAAAGGTATAAAACTGTATCATCTACCAAGAAGACAGTTTGAGTACCACTGCTAGTAAAGGTATACAACTGTATCATCTACCAAGGAGACAGTTTAAGTACCACTGCTAGTAAAGGTATTTAAAGTTCTGTATCATCTACCAAGGAGACAGTTAAAGTACCACTGCTAGTAAAGGTATACAAGTGTATCATCTACCAAGGAGACAGTTTAAGTACCATCGCTGGTAAAGGTACACATCTGTATAATCTACCAAGGAGACAGTTTAAGTACCACCACTGGTAAAGGTCTACACCTGTATCATCTACCAAGAAGACAGTTTGAGTACCACTGCTAGTAAAGGTATACAACTGTATCATCTACCAAGGAGACAGTTTAAGTACCACTGCTAGTAAAGGTATTTAAAGTTCTGTATCATCTACCAAGGAGACAGTTAAAGTACCACTGCTGGTAGAGGTATACAACAGTATCATCTACCAAGGAGACAGTGTAAGTACCACCACTGGTAAAGGTATACAACTGTATCATCTACCAAGGAGACAGTTTATGTACCATCGCTGGTAAAGGTATAAATCTGTATAATCTACCAAGGAGACAGTTTATGTACCACCACTGGTAAAGGTATACATCTGTATAATCTACCAAGGAGACAGTTTAAGTACCACCACTGATAAAGGTATACAACTGTATCATCTACCAAGGAGACAGTTTATGTACCACCACTGGTAAAGGTATACTACAGTATCATCTACCAAGGAGACAGTGCAAGTACCACCACTGGTAAAGGTATACAACAGTATAATCTACCAAGGAGACAGTGTAAGTACCACCACTGGTAAAGGTATACAACTGTATCATCTACCAAGGAGACAGTTTCAGTACCACTACTGGTAAAGGTTTACAACTGTATCATCTACCAAGGAGAAAGTTAAAGTACCACCACTGGTAAAGGTATACAACAGTAGCATCTACCTAGGAGACAGTTTAAGTACCACCACAGGTAAAGGTATACACCTGCATCATTTACCAAGGAGACAGTGTAAGTACCACAGCTGGTAAATTAAAGGTAAACAAGTGTATCATCTACCAAGGAGACAGTTTAAGTACCATCGCTGGAAAAGGTATACATCTGTATAATCTACCAAGGAGACAGTTTAAGTACCACCACTGGTAAAGGTCTACACCTGTATCATCGACCAAGAAGACAGTTTGAGTACCACTGCTAGTAAAGGTATACAACTGTATCATCTACCAAGGAGACAGTTTAAGTACCACTGCTAGTAAAGGTATTTAAAGTTCTGTATCATCTACCAAGGAGACAGTTAAAGTACCACTGCTGGTAAAGGTATACAACAGTATCATCTACCAAGGAGACAGTGTAAGTACCACCACTGGTAAAGGTATACAACTGTATCATCTACCAAGGAGACAGTTTAAGTACCATCGCTGGTAAAAGTATACATCTGTATAATCTACCAAGGAGACAGTTTAAGTACCACCACTGGTAAAGGTATACAACTGTATCATCTACCAAGGAGACAGTTTAAGTACCACCACTGGTAAAGGTCTACAACAGCATTATCTACCAAGCAGACAGTGTAAGTACCACCACTGGTAAAGGTATACAACTGTATCATCTACCAAGGAGACAGTTTAAGTAC